CGCGTAATAATTCGTAATTTCGATGTTATATACGATATTAATTACGATAACTCGTTTCACGGTATCTTTTTTCGGCGAACAAACAAATAAGAGAGTTTTTTAAGTTCACACAAACACGGACATATAGAGATGCGTGTGCGTGTTGCAGAAGAAGAAAACATTCGCGCGTTTGTTGCGTTTAATTATATCTTAACGATTAATTATTTCGCAAGATCGTTCTATATTGTACTTTCGATTTATGCAACTATGCGGTGTTTTTTTTTAAAGAATAGTTGTATACTCGTGCAAAAACTGGCAACTCTGATGTAACTCTAAACGCTCTATAAAAATTATACTTGATTCTCTGTGAGTTTTTTATCTATCACTGATAGATTCGTAGGCAGAAGAAGAAAAGATAGATTTTGAAGGATGGAGAGGGACATTTTTAAAAAAGAGAGAATTATTCAAAATACGAATGTATAATATATTCCTGCTAATATAATATATAATATACCTTATATATTATTTAATATATAATATGTTATAATAATATATAATTTTTAATATAGCGATCACAATATCGAGGATAAATGAGATTGTTAAATATATATGTTTTTTATCAATTTTACCTCTCTCTCTCCTTCCTATTGTGAAAATATATTAAATAGAAAATTAATATAATAAAATTAAACAATCATATATAGTAGGCCAACTAAACGAGCAAATAAATAAGATGTAAAAATTTTTTTATTAATAGTTAAATCATTAAATTAACATTCCGTTACAGAATCGATATAAATTGTAAACGTTTCGACTGCACTACAGTCTTTATCAATACATAAAAATTAAATATTAAAATATAAAGTTAGATGTTAAAAATACAAAGTTAGTTAAATATTAAAATATAAAATTGAAACGATTCTTCGCTGTTGACCAACAGATATGCAAGGCGATTGGTCTGAGATGCCAAGTTATGCGACATTTGAGCATGATTATCGTTTTAACAAGTCCTTTTCCCCGATATTTCAAGTGTGTGTTGCGAAGTCTGAATACCAAATGTGGACATTTGGTATTCAGACTTCGCAACACACACTTGAAATATCGGGGAAAAGGACTTGTTAAAACGATAATCATGCTCAAATGTCGCATAACTTGGCATCTCAGACCAATCGCCTTGCATATCTGTTGGTCAACAGCGAAGAATCGTTTCAATTTTATATTTTAATATTTAACTAACTTTGTATTTTTAACATCTAACTTTATATTTTAATATTTAATTTTTATGTATTGATAAAGACTGTAGTGCAGTCGAAACGTTTACAATTTATATCGATTCTGTAACGGAATGTTAATTTAATGATTTAACTATTAATAAAAAAATTTTTACATCTTATTTATTTGCTCGTTTAGTTGGCCTACTATATATGATTGTTTAATTTTGTTTAATTTATACGAGCCTTTCATTAATTAATTTTAATATAATAAATTAAATAATGCATTACAGCTTATATATATATATATATATATATATATATATAATATTATATATAAGTATATATTGTATTATATTATATATATATATATATATATAAAATATAATATATACTTATATATAATTTAATATAATATAATATATATGTATATATGTATATATATATATATATATATATATTATATAATGTATACTTATATATAATATATATAATATAATATAATATAATATATATATATATGTATGTATATATTATATAATATATATAATATATACTTTTAGAAAACTTAAATTGTTGAATGAATCATAATTTTCAATAAGGTATATAAAGTTAATCCACAATCTCTTTTCTTCTTTAAAGCCGGAAAGGCAAATCCACTTGTGAATAAAACCCACACGAGTTTCATTTTCATGACTTTCGATTCATTAGTAGCAGAATGCTTCACAGCCTGCGGAAAAAGTTGAATTCGTGTTATTTTCGATCTTTATCGCGTTTTTTTGCGATATTTCGATACACAATTTTCTTTACTATTACCATTCTTTTACTGATCAATGAAGTTCACTAGCGATTTAGTTTATGGAAAATGGTCAGAAAAATTGTCGAGGGTGCTGGTACGTCATATTTCTAGAATATACGCATAGAAAAATGCGAAACGAAAGAGAGATACATATATTCTTACGATTGCTTTAATCGTTGTAGCCTTTTGGGCGGAAAGTTTTAGTGCCATTCATCTCTTTCTAGAGTCATTTCTAGTGCTACTTTACATCGTTAATCATTTATATCGATGCCCTAGATTTAAATAACCTGTTTAGATCCAATGTTGATTCTTCGCATGCGTTTTTGATTGCATTTTGTACTCCGGACATGGCTAATATTCAACGAGATATCTAAGTATATAAATTACTTTATTAATGATTTAATGAGTTTCTTCGAATCCTGCGTTGTTATCCAGAAGAAACTTTATCCACTGAATTTGTATAAAATATAATCAAATGAAGTATATATATTATTTATATAATCGACGAAAATTTTAAATATACATTTTGCCACATAATTTTTTTTTTTCGTCTCGGTTTAATCGTAAAAAATTGCAAAAATGCACTAATTGTGAATCGAGCTGGTAAATTTAAATATTTTGCAAGAGTATAATAATACATCAATATAATTGTTTTATTAATCGCAATATATTAAAAAATAATCATAATAACTTAATCTTTTTATACACGAGAAAATGTGTGAGATATAATAAATATTTATTATTGCATAAATAAATATCGATTGGCTTTTTGTTGGACATTTTTTTCATATTATCAATTAAATTGCATGTAGAGACTTATTCGAATGTGTGTAGATCTGCATTCATTTATTTATTTACGTATGTTCGATAGAATTTTTATTAACTTATCAATTTGATGGAAAAAAAATAAGGTAGTCTTGTTTTTTCACGTAACTGAAACAAATTTTAATTCAGTAAAATTAGATGCAACAATCTGGTGCATTTTTGCAGTTGCTTTTCAATTATACATATATAGTTTAACTTTACAATCTCGTGATTTTATCACTATTATAACGATTGCTATCGTTATAATTAACATTACGTATTTATTAATATTGTTAATCTTATTAATTTTTCTTCACGCAGCGAATGCATTTTGCATCATGTGTGCGTTTTACCAAAAACAGAGATAATTACTAGGTACAAGATAAATTACAAAAATTCCAGGAATTTGACAAATTCACTCTAATTCGTTCGTTATATCTATAAAATTATATTTAATTATATTTTCGCGTCTTTGGCTCTTTCGATAAAAAAGAATAAGTAGTACGATCGACAGTTTGATTCGACGATCCTTCGTCGGACAAATAAATTAATCCTGCAACTGGATAAATGAGTTGTATCGCGATATCAGGAGAGTTTAGAAAACGATATATATATATATATATATATACCAGGTAGCAAGCTGACGTCATTAAACGTCAAAATGACGTTATTTTGACGTTGATGGTGTCATTTTGACGTTTAATGACGTCAGCTTGCTACCTGGGATGTGTTAACGGGAATATAATAATCTTTTGATGCAAACTTTCCGTCTCATCTTTTCGCAAAAAAAATATCAACTAGTACGTAAAATATATAAATTTCGTGTCAAGAAAATGGAAGAACTGAGAACGTGAAACGTGAAACTGTTAACAAATGAAGATTATCGGTTTTTTTTAAGCGATCGTTGTCGTTTGCGTTACAAAATGAATTTTTCGCTTATTCGAAGTATCGCCCAAATATTCTATCGCGAACAGAGGAGCGTGGATGGTCTTCGTTCGAGCGGTGGAACTTTGATGCACGACCTAGAAAAGTGGAATAAAAATATTAGGTCGTCTTCCGAATTCGTAAAAGACGGAGAAGAAAAGAGGAAATGGAAATATTACTCGATACACGTGTATACCATGCTTCATCCGGCAATAATAATACGTGTCGAAGGAGGAAAAGAAGGTACCGTTTAATTCAATCTGAGTAATAAATAATGCAAACAGGAGGAAAGACCCGGAATAAAAAATAGAAGCAAGCGGGAACAATCACTTTTATCCGCAAGCACAGATCATCCGACACGTTGGATAATATATAATAATACTGATATCAAGGGTTTATGTACAGGCGTGATTTTTCATGCGCGATAACACAAATTTACTCATTTCATGAACTCATCTGTGAGTCTTACCTAGCTTATTCGCTCAGTACTGGCAGTAGGGACCTTACAGAAAAGGTCAGAGAAAAGTAATGTTAAGAAATATTTTGTAATATTAAAGTATACATATATAATATACAAGTCCCATTCTAAACAACGCAGTGCATTTTTATAATCAAAGTTTCCATTGAAAAATGTTAGCATAGTCTCTCATTTCAGGTTAAGGCATTTCTGAGATTTCGAAGTCCTTATTTTTTTAAACACGCGGAACTGTCTATATAGATATAATTTTCTTACGTAAATCGATTTTTATAATATTTAAAAATATGTAAAAAAGAATGGAAATATCTCGTAATATACTTATATCGTTTTTCACTGGGTAGCACTGAGTGCGCACCGAAAACTCGTTGAGTTTAGATGGCACTGTCCGAGTGCACTAAAAGTGCGAATTTCTTGCGCTTCCAGCTAAACATACTGGTATACTCTCAGTGCAGTTCTGTGCATATTTGTCGCCCTGAATATGGAAGGATTTAACATTAATTTTAAGGTCAATAATGACCTATTGAACTTAACTCTCGATCCAAGCGAACAAGAGTTAAATTATAAGGGTTCATATATAATCATATCAAGTTATATATAATATATTTATATGTATGGAGGAAATATATTTATTATATATATATATATATATATATATATCCCAGCAAACACCAATATATAATTGTTACATTGCTATAATAAAACGGAATATAACAGGTAATATAACGTGTACGTTACATGTAACATCCATGTTAGTTGTAATTTCTCACTCATAGATGTAACATTTTAATATAACATATATTACATTGTAGTTATATTGTAATTATATGCCAAATAGCACATTGATGTATTGATAAGTCAGTGCTATCTTGGGATATAATGATAATATAACTACAATGTAATATATGTAATATTAAAAATGTTACATCTATGAGTGGGAAATTACAACTAACATATACGTTACATGTAACATGCTTAAGTATATAACATTTATATATTGTGTTTGCTGGGATATATATATATATATATATATATATAATATAATATAATTATATATTTATTTATTTATATATTTATTATATATATATATATATATATATATATAATATAATTATACAAATTATAAAAAGAATATATTATAAATGTTTTTATAATTAAATTAATAATATTCACAAATATATATTATAATTTATTAATCTTAAAATTAATATTAATTATTATATATTATTAGTAATCAATATAATATTCATATGATATAAATAATAAATATCATCATCTTCATCACTGCTAGATGATGATGAAGAAAGCAAATCTAACAGTTTAAACATTAATCGTGCATCCCACGCAGCCATATTGATTGCACTAAACTGGCACCGTCTCTCAGAGCTCGTGCCGAATTCTTGCACTAAAGTGCGAAAACTCGGCACTAGACTTTCCAGTGAAACAGCACGCACCGTTTTCATGCGCACCGAAATGCCCAGTGAAACACGTTGCCCATGACGAGTGCGCACTCAGTGCGCACTAGTTCTCCCAGTGAAAAACGCTATTATTTTTTTACTAATCGTATCTTAATAATTTTCCGTAAAATAATGAGATAAATCGATTAAGTAACAAAAAATATAGTTATATAAAAAATATGTACACTTGCACATTGCAAATGGTATTTTAATAAAAGAGTATTTTTAAAAATTATTTTTCTAAGATTATTGAACAATAAATATGTTACAAAATATTATTTCATATTTTTTGTTAAAATGTGTCACAATGAAGCATAAAGTATCTCATAAATAATTCATTTTTCGAATATTTTATTCTAATACTTTTTTATGTCGAATATGACGAGGAATCGATTAATGTTACAAAAATTATTATTTAAAAAAATGTCTTCGAAAATTCCTCCAGCTGGAATAAAACTCTTACAAAGATATTCCCTTTAAAATTCTATAACTTTCTAATAAAATATTTTTTGATAAAAATTTTGATTTTCGAAAAATTTCAATACAAAATTTAAAATGGAACTCTGTTATACACACATAAAAATAACAAATATACATATAAAAATATCACAGATATATACACGTACAAAAATGCTTTAAATATCTTTAAGATCTTGATTGTATGAAAACTCTACAATCCGGTAGCAAACTGACGTCGTTAAACGTCAAACTGACGTCATTAAATGTCAAAATGACGTCATTAAACGTCAAAAGAACGCCATTTGGTGTTTAATAACGTCATTTTGACATTCAATGACATCAGTTTGCTACTTGAAAAGTTTAGAGCTTGGAGAAAAATATCTCGCTTGGAAATGACTTGGTTTAGATTATATTTTCCTCGATACTCACAACTCAATGCTCTGGATGGTAGACGTAGCGCATGTTATGTCGACTTTCACGTGACAGTGCTTGTGACACTTCATCTGACAGTCCCTGCACTCGTAACCCTGCTTGCCAAGTCTTCGCGCGAGAGTTCTCTTACAAACCTCGCAAACTGTTCCTCTGAAAAAAAAAAAAATGAACAAAACATATTTTATATATTCTAATAATTTTGATTATTTTTCATCAAATCGCATACTGATAATATCGTATTAAAACATCGCTCTTACCCGGACATATGTTTGGCGATAAACGTGTGATCGCTAAATATATGCAACTTTGTGCCCTTTTTCCTCCATTTACTTTTCTGAGCGAGGGAAAGGGGTACGAGGTAGTGCCTGAAATATAAAAGGAAATGTACACTTTTTTTATGTATGTTCCATTTTTTAAATATTTTATTCTAATCATTTTTTATTATTTATTTTTATTATATATATATATATATATATATAATATATATTTATTTATATATAATTATATATTTTATTTCAACAAAAGAAATATTTGAGAGAGAGAGAGAGGGAGGAAGAAAGAAACTTACTTCTTTATGCCGTTCTCTAAAGTTTCGAGAACCAACGTGGAGGCTTCGTTAATGTATGTTCTCGTGGATGTTCCACTTATGCCCGATGCTTCACTCAAACTCGATCGTCGCGATTGCTCTGGTACCGATAAATGCACTGCAGAAGAAAAAAGTCGCTTCGCATAAAATATATAACAGATAAAACGGAAAATGCAAAAGAAACGTGAAGCATAACAGCGAATAAGTGAAAAAATTAATAGAATAATTTACATCTGAAAAAAATTATTAAATTAATATTTATTTCAATACTTACCTAGTTTTAATGCCTAATAAATCATTTATTTGAAATAAATTTTATTTATCTGTTTTGAACAGAATTTTCTGATATATAAATATATATAAATTATATATAAATAAATATTTTTCACATCAAATCAATATTATTAGTTTCAAATAAATGATTTATTAAGCAATATTGAAATAAATATTTATTCGAATTCAATTATAATTTCTTTTCAATGTAGATAGCAATCGAACGTGATTAGTTCCTACTTTCAGATCCAGCGAATGAGCGTCGAGTGTTAAAAGAATGCGATCAATCACGTTCGATTGCTATCTAACGATTTTTCCCGCGAAATCACAATCAAACGTGATAGGTTCTTATTTTTAAATCCAGCAAATCAACTTCGAGTGTTACAAGAATGCGACCAATCACGTTCGATTGTCGTCCAGCGAGTTTCTCTGCCAATTCGTCCAATTTCCCTCAACTTTCTACTTAAAACACGCGTTTCCGAATCGTGAACTGCGTGCTACCGATTTTGTCTACCTCTGAAAAGCAAAAGTCACTACACTAACTACGTCCTACCTTACGAGGACACTTACCGAAATCGAGTACCGTGAGAGCAACACATATGCAAGCAAGACAGAGTGCGAGACGAATGAGTACAATACAACACTAAGTTTTAGAAATAATATAGGATTCCAGGTAGCAAGCATACGTCATTTTCATGTTTAATGACATATGCTTGCTACCTCATTAGATGTCAAAGTGACGTTATCTTGATGTTTAAGGACGCCATTCAACATCAGACGTCAAAATGACGTTATTATGCGGCGTTTAATGACGTCATTTTGATGTTGATGACGTCATTATAAGGTTGTCAAAGTGACGTCATTTTGACATCAGTTTTTTAATGACATCAGTTTGCTACTTGGGATAGCAGTCGAGAATCTGACTGATAGAGATCTTCTACCCAGGTAGAACAGATAATCAAAATAATATCATTTTGACGTCATTGATCAAATTTGGAGTTCAAATTTGGTCAAGATGATGTCAAAATAATGTCAATTTGACGTCATCTTGATCAAATTTGAACTCCAAATTTGATCAATGATGTCAAAATGATATTATTTTGGTTTTCTGTTCTACTTGGGTAGTGAACTATTTATTGTTGAACCAAGTGAATTTCTCGCGCTACGGAAACTACTGTCTCACACTTTTAATTCACAAACTTAGGGAATACAAATAAAATGAAGAAAGAAAATCTTACCGGAACCAGGATCGCGAGCTCTATCGGCAGATATGGATCTCGAATGAGCATCTTCGTGATTGATCTCTCCTTCGGGACCTACCGATCTGCTTCTCGTCTTAGATCGGCTCAATCGTTTCTTTATGGTGCCGAAGAAGTCGCGTCGTTTCCTTCGTGTTCTTCCTCTCTCTGTTAAAGTATTGCATTAAATATTGCGTTAAGAAAAATACTTGAGGACGATATTATATGATCGCAAGTCGCACATCAATTTTTATATTACTAAAATTATAATTTTTGCGTAATTTCAATTTTTCATAAATATCTTACCTTCTGAATTCGAGGAATTAGGCGTGCTTTCTGGTCCTGAGGTAGCGCTGACGTCCTTCGTTCCGTGCTGCAAAGAATTTGTATTCGAAAATTATACAAAATGAAAACAAAAAAATCGGCTTTTTATTTATTATCGGGAAATTTTATTTATCAACTATATTATACGGATTCATTTACCTCCGGGGATATCTCTTGCCAGTTTCCATTCTGCGTCAGAGCGACCTGTTACATTAGTAAATACACAACACTCAATCACGGTTAATAATTCTTATTTAAAAAAATAAAAAAGAAAAATGCTTTATGTTAAAGTAAATTTAAAATTTTGAGTAACTTATTCAGTTTTGGTTGACGCAAAAGCTTCAAATGTGTGTCTTAAATTATGTCATGTTGAAAAATTTGCCTCAAGATAAATTTACTTTTTTGCAAGCAAAGAATAAATAAAATAATCAAATTATTTTGATCACACAAAAAATGCAATAATGGTATATAACACCTGAATTCTTCTTACCTTGACAACTTGCCGCTCCAGTTGCTGCAAGAGAAACCAAATAGAAATCATGCTTAAGTGAAAATCGTTACAAGATCGGGAAGATTATTTCGTCAGGGACAAATAATCTTTGGCATTTGAAGCAAATGACTTTTAAAAAATTATTAATCGCTCTACTAATATTTTCGTGCCTAATTTATTTATGAAGTTTCTTAGCATTTGGGGATTTCAACATTTGGGATCTTCTTAGCAATTGGGGACTTTTCACTCTTTCACTCTTTTCTTTATATATAAATCCACCCTTGATTTTTTTAGTTCTTCACAACTCCATATCAGAGCGTTATGTTCATGCGGTAAAAAAGTGCGGTATATAATAATTAACAAAACTTACCCTCTGGTGGCTGTGAACAATCAAGGTTCCCTTATTACCGTTTGTCTGTCCGCTTTTGTATGGTGCATCCACGACGTTACCGTTTGTCAGATAGTCTGAAAAGATGATTTTCTAATGAATTTTTGCCGCGGATACTCATTCACAATAAGATCTACGACTCTCTCTCTGACTATCCTTACGAAAGCGTCGACTATTTCAATATACCAGGACTTTCTATACATCCATCTACCGATTATACATTCATCTTATACAGAGTGCTCCACGTTTCTTTTGTTATTTATAAATTATTTTACCAATTTTTAGAAAAATGTAAAATATTGAATACTGTCTATATTTATAGTTAGCTCTGGTAAAAAGAAAATGTTTCTCAGGCACTTATACTTGCTTATTGGACAGCATCCCAAGTAGTAAACTGACGTCATTAAACGTCAAAATGACGTCCTTCGACGTGAAAATAACGTACGCTTGCTATCTGGGACATTCTACTCATTCTGAACAAGGGAACGAGAATCTAATAATAATCCTCATGCCAACTATTTTATATTAAGGGTTCAAACCAGCTCTGGCCACGAGTGACTACGTGAGTCTGTCTTCAAACGGGTGTTCAACACAGGTTCAAGAAGTTACTGTACAAACTAATAAAAGAAAAAAACCAATCTCTCGGGGATGTTCACACACATCAACGCCTGATAACTGATCTGTAATTACCCCCTTCCGACTGTGCGGCAGAGTCGTACAAGATAAGTGTACTGTTACCATTGTTGTAGTTTAGACTATTGTTGCTGATGACGTTCGTCTGGCTGTAGGAACGGGTAGGTGAGACCGGCTTTATCGTCTCCTTCACCTTGTAGGGCTTGGTCCCGATTTGTGGCACCTCCGCACCCTCGATAAACAAAAACTGCGAAAGGAATAGAGATTAGCGTCGAGTAACAAATTATTGTAAGACTATTATCATCTTTCTTATAACCCTTAATCCTTCTATTATTTAAAAAGTATAATTTTGCAATTTTAAATATTAAAAATGTGTCAGAACTCTTCTACTCATGAAATAAAAGTACAAAGAGCCTTTCTAAAATAAACAATGATATCCGGATACCCAAGTATTGATGAAAAAATGAAAAATTATGCATTGATAGAAGAGTTAAGGTTCACATTGAAGAAATAGTTATTCAAGAGCGTTCCAACATTTTTCGAGATATTTTACACTCAACCATGTCTTGTTTATGAAATTAATTAGAATCCCAATTGATAAGAACGATTACCTCCACAGTGAGGGTGCCTGTAATGTCCTCCTCTTCGTACGGTCGTGCCTGAAGAGGTATGATTTGCCTCTGGCTCGGATTTGCGAGAAGCTCCTCGACCCCTACAATTCCGAGTCCCAAAAATCTTTGGCTTCTGTTGACGTGATCGAACACTTCTAGCAACACTTCGGTCGTGTTGTGACTAATATCGCTGCAAACGCATATTGGGACTTATTAATTCTTGCTCACATCTTGTAGACATCAATTGGAGAGAAGACTTTGGACTTTGGCGGAATAGGTCATCTATAAGTGTTTACTTACAATAAGAACGCTTCGTCCCACAGGGGATTCTTGGTGTCTTTCTTGATAGAGGTCTGGTTCTTCTGCGGCGGTTCATCCAACTCCACTACACAATAAGGATTCACGGCTCCTTGTTGGCCACCCAGGTCCATCGCCCTCACAACTTTCACGAGCAGTCGCCTTTCGCCGGGCATGTATTGCATGGACGCCGGCGAGGGAGCCAAATGTCCCTGAAGACGTTGTTGCGAGGGTTGGTACATCATCGAGTTGGAGATGTTCTGCGAGCGAAGTGAATAGAAACGCATCAGTGTGCAGCATTGATGTATAATATCCCAAACAACAGCACGTCTAAAATCGGGACATAAGACGTCTTGAAGATATATCTTATTGACGTCTTACAGACATATTTTAATATGATGACTAAAAGGCATCTTGATAACTCCTTTAAAACGTCTTATGTTCCGATTTTGATGACTTCTGTAAGACGTCTTATGTCCCGATTTTGATGACTCTTTTAAGACATCTTATATATCCCGATTTTGATGACTCCTTTAAGATGTCCCGATTTTAAACGTTTTGTTGTCTGGGATATATCTCGCTGATTAATCATCGTTTCACCTACCATGTTGTCGTAATGCGTGGGATACGAGCTGAACCCCGGCTGAGGAGGTGGCTCTCTCCATAATCGGGGACATGTGGGATATTGGGAGAGATTGAGGTGAACGCTGGTGCCTCGCAAGGCACCCGCCACAATTTCCGTTACCACCTCTTGCAATTGGCTCTCGTCCAAGTCTTTCTTTATTGTGCCCACCGCTGCCAGGGATATCTTCACCTGATACGGGAGACAATAGATAATATTACTTCGTCTATTCATTCGCATATATTTTTTGGCTGAAAACAAATTTGTTTTCACGCGAAAAGATATCTTTAGTGCTTCTCTTTTCCCATATTGGCACAACGGACCGAGGATTATGTAAAACTCGACTCGTATTGTCGTGAACTCGACTTGAGTGACAAATAGCCGTGATCGCATTACAATTTCCGCGTAGTTGCATCACAGGAAGTCCGACCTACCTCCGGCCAGCCGTCGCACTTCAGGTCGATGAGTAGCTTCTCGGTGATGCAGACGACGTTGAGTCGAGCGCGAAAGCGATTGACGTTCACTCGATAGTGATTAACTTCCACCTTGTCGCCTCGTTGCCGAAAGGCCTTTAACTGCAAAGCCGGAGTGGCTTCGCAATCGCACGTGATAGTCTGAAGAGAGAGAAGGATTATTTTTTTCTCCTTATTAAATGATTACTACTAATTAATTATTATTAATAATTATCACTAAATTATTATTAATTTTTATATAATTATTATTATTAAATAAATATAATAAATATATATAAATATTAATAATAAATTTAATAATTATTAATTTAACGTATAAGACGGGCAACAAGAGCCAAATCGCGGATGACAATGCGTTATCCTAACGAAACTAAATAATTTTTCGTTAGAATTAAATACCGGTGCACAAGGCACCAAATTTTTACTTGGACACGGCCAAGATTTTAAATATGAAATAATCTCATATTTTGAGATTTAATTTCAATACCCCTTTAAACCCCCCTACGGAAAATAAATAAATGAATGTAAGAGAAAAATATAGATCCGAAAATCGCTGAATCGGGAATCGAACCCGAGACCTTTCGCTTGCCGGGCGACTGCTCTTCCAGCTGAGCTATTCAGATCCTTTCGATTCTATACTTTTCTCTGTTATATATATTAATGTTGGTAAACAAACGCATTTTTTAAGCCAGCGTGTATCAAATATAAGAGTTTTAACAAGGCTCTGTAATATAAATATAAATTTAACGTATAAGACGGGCAACAAGAGCCAAATCGCGGATGACAATGCGTTATCCTAACGAAACTAAATAATTTTTCGTTAGAATTAAATACCGGTGCACAAGGCACCAAATTTTTACTTGGACACGGCCAAGATTTTAAATATGAAATAATCTCATATTTTGAGATTTAATTTCAATACCCCTTTAAACCCCCCTACGGAAAATAAATAAATGAATGTAAGAGAAAAATATAGATCCGAAAATCGCTGAATCGGGAATCGAACCCGAGACCTTTCGCTTGCCGGGCGACTGCTCTTCCAGCTGAGCTATTCAGATCCTTTCGATTCTATACTTTTCTCTGTTATATATATTAATGTTGGTAAACAAACGCATTTTTTAAGCCAGCGTGTATCAAATATAAGAGTTTTAACAAGGCTCTGTAATATAAATATAAATTTAACGTATAAGACGGGCAACAAGAGCCAAATCGCGGATGACAATGCGTTATCCTAACGAAACTAAATAATTTTTCGTTAGAATTAAATACCGGTGCACAAGGCACCAAATTTTTACTTGGACACGGCCAAGATTTTAAATATGAAATAATCTCATATTTTGAGATTTAATTTCAATACCCCTTTAAACCCCCCTACGGAAAATAAATAAATGAATGTAAGAGAAAAATATAGATCCGAAAATCGCTGAATCGGGAATCGAACCCGAGACCTTTCGCTTGCCGGGCGACTGCTCTTCCAGCTGAGCTATTCAGATCCTTTCGATTCTATACTTTTCTCTGTTATATATATTAATGTTGGTAAACAAACGCATTTTTTAAGCCAGCGTGTATCAAATATAAGAGTTTTAACAAGGCTCTGTAATATAAATATAAATTTAACGTATAAGACGGGCAACAAGAGCCAAATCGCGGATGACAATGCGTTATCCTAACGAAACTAAATAATTTTTCGTTAGAATTAAATACCGGTGCACAAGGCACCAAATTTTTACTTGGACACGGCCAAGATTTTAAATATGAAATAATCTCATATTTTGAGATTTAATTTCAATACCCCTTTAAACCCCCCTACGGAAAATAAATAAATGAATGTAAGAGAAAAATATCTAACAAAAATATATAACAGAGAAAAGTATAGAATCGAAAGGATCTGAATAGCTCAGCTGGAAGAGCAGTCGCCCGGCAAGCGAAAGGTCTCGGGTTCGATTCCCGATTCAGCGATTTTCGGATCTATATTTTTCTCTTACATTCATTTATTTATTTTCCGTAGGGGGGTTTAAAGGGGTATTGAAATTAAATCTCAAAATATGAGATTATTTCATATTTAAAATCTTGGCCGTGTCCAAGTAAAAATTTGGTGCCTTGTGCACCGGTATTTAATTCTAACGAAAAATTATTTAGTTTCGTTAGGATAACGCATTGTCATCCGCGATTTGGCTCTTGTTGCCCGTCTTATACGTTAAATTTATATTTATATTACAGAGCCTTGTTAAAACTCTTATATTTGATACACGCTGGCTTAAAAAATGCGTTTGTTTACCAACATTAATATATATAACAGAGAAAAGTATAGAATCGAAAGGATCTGAATAGCTCAGCTGGAAGAGCAGTCGCCCGGCAAGCGAAAGGTCTCGGGTTCGATTCCCGATTCAGCGATTTTCGGATCTATATTTTTCTCTTACATTCATTTATTTATTTTCCGTAGGGGGGTTTAAAGGGGTATTGAAATTAAATCTCAAAATATGAGATTATTTCATATTTAAAATCTTGGCCGTGTCCAAGTAAAAATTTGGTGCCTTGTGCACCGGTATTTAATTCTAACGAAAAATTATTTAGTTTCGTTAGGATAACGCATTGTCATTCGCGATTTGGCTCTTGTTGCCCGTCTTATACGTTAAATTTATATTTATATTACAGAGCCTTGTTAAAACTCTTATATTTGATACACGCTGGCTTAAAAAATGCGTTTGTTTACCAACATTAATATATATAACAGAGAAAAGTATAGAATCGAAAGGATCTGAATAGCTCAGCTGGAAGAGCAGTCGCCCGGCAAGCGAAAGGTCTCGGGTTCGATTCCCGATTCAGCGATTTTCGGATCTATATTTTTCTCTTACATTCATTTATTTATTTTCCGTAGGGGGGTTTAAAGGGGTATTGAAATTAAATCTCAAAATATGAGATTATTTCATATTTAAAATCTTGGCCGTGTCCAAGTAAAAATTTGGTGCCTTGTGCACCGGTATTTAATTCTAACGAAAAATTATTTAGTTTCGTTAGGATAACGCATTGTCATCCGCGATTTGGCTCTTGTTGCCCGTCTTATACGTTAAATTTATATTTATATTACAGAGCCTTGTTAAAACTCTTATATTTAATAATTATTATTATTAAATAAATAATTAATTATTATTACTAAATTAAATTTTGTATGTAACCAAATATTAAGTTCTACGATCTACATATTTAACAATCTACTTTAATGTGAAAAATTAAATTATCATTTATCATGACTTTTAACGTTGGTCTCTCCAAGTTTAAGTGTCGCTAGATAAATGGAAATAAAAATATATATATATATGTTTTTTGACAAACTTCTAAGCGAGGTTTTAAAACAAAAAAACCTGATTTACGTACCACATCGTCCTTCGAATCGCACTCGCAGAAGATGTTTGACAAGGTCGGGGGATGTGTCTCGGGAAGAACGCGAACGAACTCGACACCGACTCCGTGCTAGAACACGCAAACAATGTCTAATGAAGATTATAGAATGCATCATATAACGCTGCACCTCGTCATACTTTTTTTCATACGCCTGCTAATTAATGCTTCGTTTGTTCGGCACATAAATATGTGTTGCGCGACACCACACTTGTTTGCATTCGGAATTAAACTTATTATTAGTTTGTAGCCGCATCACGGATAATCCGTGTATTCGTAACAAAATATATCGGATCTAAACCAAAATTATTAAAAAATATTTCAGAGACATATGATTTTATTAAGTTTTCAATTTATTAATTAAATATATGTATATTTTTTTAGCGGAGGAGAATTAATCAATTTTATATGTGTTTGATTAAACAGTTATTTTTATATTATTTTTATTAAAAATTATTCTTCGTTATCTCTCTTTGTAATATACAATAATAAGAGAAATTCATTATGATATATCGCGATACGTCATAATATCCATTCAAGTATCATTATTAATGTTCACGATAAATATCGAAAAATAACTTTAATAAAGATAATAATGTAAAAATATTGAATAAAATTTTGTGCGCGTATAAAGATAATGAATGCCCTCTAATGTGTCGGCAATTAAGCCAAGCCTAGAACTGGTATCCGGAAGAAATTCGAGTTATTCCAGCAAAGTGATGTCATCGACTACACGTGGCAAGGACAGCGTCGAACCGTAACATCTTTTTATACACTATTGGCCTTTGATGTAACGTGCCTTGACCCATTGTAAATGGCCATTTGGTTTCTGCGAAAGACAAAAATGACGCGGACGATTCTAAATCGGATTCTAAATGGCATCGTCATAAATTTATAATTGTCATAACAAATAGCAGGGTTGGATATTTAAAATGTAATTTAATTTAAAATATATTAATTTTTAACTTCAACTAGTTATTTTTGACCTTAAACTTGTTAACTTTTTTCCTAAGTTAAATTTTATTTTATTTCTGAATATTATTGTTTTTTTTTATAAGTTATATAAACGTATTATTTTTAAATTTATTTTTTATAAGTTATAAACGTATTATTTTTAAAGTATATTATTAATTTTTATGTTCATTTGTCATCAATTGTAATTACCTATTAAAAAATATATTTCTATATAAAAATCGAAATTTCTGTTATTTGTTATTATGAATTTTAAAAAAATTAACAAACAAAATTCTAATTTAATATAAATAATAATGTTTTTAAAAATTAACTTTTGATTTAGCTTCAGTTAATTTAATCCTAACTTTAACTTAACTTAATTTAAAAAAATCATTACCCTCCCCACCCTGACAAATAATAATACGATCCTACACTTGCTTCTAATTGATTGATTAATTTGTTTAACTAATTATTTTATTTATCAATTTAAATGTAATAATTAAAAGTAATAAAATGTAAACTTTCTGTTAATGAACAGGTAATTAGATTCCCATACATTAATTTAAAATTATACATTGACAAAATGCTATAAAAAATTAGCCACCATAACGAAATTTTAACTGTCTCTATAAAATTTAGCCATAATAACTAAATTTCAGATTGTAATATTGATGGTTAATTTTTTTCCGCGCGAAAAGTTAGTGAAGGTTAAAAAAAAGAGTGAAATAGAAAAGTAGGCTGGAGCTAACAAAATATCGATTTTAATGATGATTATTCACGAAGCGAATAAATGGCAACGACTTGGCATGACTTAAAGTAATTAAATCTCATACCCAATTTCCGCGCAATTCAACAATATTGCAGTTTCACGGATGAATCATCGGATAGTAAGTGAAATTTTGGAAAAGTGCCCGTAATTTCAAACACGTAAAACATGCATCTCGAGCGCAAAATGACGATGGCGCAATCGAGTGCCTTCTGTCAAAGAACCTAGACTTTTCAAGCAGTGACTAATCTCCCTAAAGAGATAATGCGCTGATAATCGCGGATATTTATAACGTCGAAACGATCTCTTCTTCGCTTTGTTGTAGTTCTGCGATATATATATATATATATATATATATATATATATATATATATATAGATATGCATTCGGAAAGAGAGTTATCGTGTTCCCGATTCGAGAGCACTCGACCTCGCACTCACACGAAGCCATTCTATCCCTTCTCTCCTCATCGTTTTGCTGGAATCACCCACGCTTCGAGAAAAGTAACTTTGTATCTCGCCTTATCGAGAGTGACACGAGTCGTGCAAAGTTTTTTGCTCAGATTTCAAAACACTATATGTTTTATACGAAGACATTCCATAGAATAATTATATATATTTATAGTAAAATTCTTACAAACTTCTAACAAATATTCCAGATTACAAGCATACGTCATTAAACAGCAAAGTGACGTCGTTGTGACGTTTAATGACGTCAATTTGCTACTCGGGGTTTAGAATATTAAAATTTCCAAATATGGAAACAACACCAAAAAATGTAGAAAAGTCTTTACCATTTCCTTCTTTAAAACTTCGAATCGCTGGAGAACAATGATGTCATTAAACGTCAAAGTGACGTCGTTTTGACGTTTAACGACGTCAGTTCGCTACTCGGGGTTTAGGATGTTAAATTTCCAAATATGAAAACAACACCAAAAAATGTAAGAAAATCTTCGCCATTTCTTCAATCCTTTCCCTAAAATCACGCTGAAGAAGAATGACGTCATTAGATGTCAAAGTAACGTCATTTTGACGTTTTACGACGTCAGTTTGCTACTCGGGGTTTAGGATGTTAAAATTTCCAAATATAGAAACCACACCAAAAAATGTAGAAAAATCTTTTCCATTTCTTCGATCCCTTCTTTAAAATTTCGAATTGCTAAAAACAATGACGTCATTAAACGTCAAAGTGACGTCGTTTCGACGTCTATCAGTTTGCTACTCGGCGTTTAGGATGTTAAAATTTCCAAATATGGAAACAACACTAAGAACCCTATCAGCACACATATCCCGAAGGCGTTTAGAAAACATCCCGAGGATGCTCGAACGTTCTCTGGTTAGCCTCTGAATATCTTTCGGATATGTTGCGCTATTAGAGAAATATAAAAAAATCTTCGCCATTTCTTCGATCCCTTCCCAAAGACCTCGAATCGCCGGAGAAGCTAAAAACCCAGACAACAAAACGTCTAAATTCGGGACATAAGACATCTTAAAGGAATCATTAAGATGTATTTTAGACATCATAATAAAATATATCTTTAAGACGTCAACAAGATATCTTTAAGATTTCTTACGTCCCGTTCTTGGACGTGATGTTGTTTGGGAATCCTAAGCATAGCGTACTCGTATACGAGAGCCGGAAAACAAGAACCCAAAACTCCTCACCTCATCAGTGGAACTGGCGGTGAAGTCGTGTAGGGAGACTACCCAGGTGGCCAGGAGCTCGTTGAGGATAACGAGGTCGTGGTGCAGCCAGACGATGAGTTCGTTGACCCAACGCACGGCCTCGGCGTCGGGGCCGGTCGCGGTTGGCAGATGCAGCGCCCTGGAGCTTCGGGACGGGCTGATGAGAGCGCCGGAGGTCTTCCTCGTCAGGCGTTTCCTCACGGGAGGTGTCGGCGGCACGTAACCTCCCGGCGACGGTGATCTCACACCCGCCGGAGCGCCGGTACCAGCACCACTTCCACCACTTCCACCACCACCACCGCCGCCGCCAGCAGCAGCACCGCCACCAGCCGTACTAGCGGTACCAACAGCACCACCGGCGGTGGTACCACCACCTGCACCACCTGTGCCAGCCCTCACGAGGGACGTCGAGGACGACGTGGACGTCGAGGGCGGCGACGCCGACTTGGACCTGTCGAATAGTTTGCCGACGGTGCCCGTCAACATACCGCCACCTCCGCTCTCGTGATGGACATGGCTGTCTTTGCCGAGCTGCTGCGCCGCCGACGAGGAGGACGTGGTGCCGGAGGACGCGAGGTCGTTGAGCACGAAGCGATTGTACACATATTTGCCGACGCACAGTACCACCAGGCCGAAGAGCATCCAGCCAAATATCAGCATCGACAGCGTATCCATGGTAGTTTCACCAGCCGAGTCGAAACTGCATATCAGATCGTCCATCCGCTCGGCCAAGTCGGCCATATTGCCCCATCGTTCTGCCAACCAAGTCCAATTGGATTCCAAAAACATTCTTTTCTATTTTCACCCGCGAGCGCCCGCGGCCCCACCACCACCGCGCTATACTTGGCTATTAATACGCCGCGCATATACCCTGGGCTCCTCCCTGGGCCACGTTACTACGGCACTGCTCTGAACACGACGTTTCCGTCGTCTACGTTGCCCGTGTCACGTGTCCACCCAATCTCTTGTTCTCTTTCGTCCGCTCGGGAGAGACCCTTCTTCGCTACCTCCTCGCTGACTAGTCGGACAGTTGGGGTCGGTCGGATTGGGTCTCAAGGTCACGCTCCTCCGAATCTTTATTGAAGACGCTGTCAATCTTCGATGAGCGGATTTGACAGTTTCTGAAGCTCCGGGACCCCTTCTGGATCAATTTTGTTGATCGAGCATGATGCTTTTTAGCTGGTGTTATCAATCTGTATGTAAATTTGAGAGACTGCAGACACGTTGACAGCTATTCGGGACACAAAAGAAATTCTTCAAGTTGCTTCAAATTATTTTCAGGTCATTACTTTAAGATATTAATATGCTGCTAAGCATCGCATTCTTCTGATCCATCCAGATAAGATCATACTGGAACAAAGATAAATCGGTGAATTAAATCTGTAGGATAATAGACTGCTATTACTAAAAATTAAAAAAAAACTTGTTATCCATTAACGGCTGATAAGCTTTATGAGAATAACGTCAATCACATGATATGAATATGTGGGTTATCAGCGAATTCGTAGATGAAGTTTCATGAAAGGAATTTTTGATGTGATTCTAGAATCGAAATATTTTTTGAATTTTTTTTTAAAATTATTTTTAACTCTATTATTTTAATTAAACAATTTCTTCGACTTTTTATAAAAAAAAAATTCTAATCTTAATTAAAAATAGTAATTAGCTCTATTAAACTTAATGTTTGTGAACAAAGAAGAGCTGTAAGAGCTATATTAAACAAATTGCAGTTGTCAGATAATCTTAATAAAATTCATTTAAAACGAGAAAATAAATACATAAGCAATAAACATTTATGTGTAGATGATATTAATAAAATGTATTTTAAAAAGTAAATGTATTTTAAAAATTCTAATCTTAATATTAATTTTAATATTATAATTTTTAATGTTAATATTAAAATTATTTAATTTTATTATAATAAAATTCTAATTTAATTATAATAAAATTCTAATTTAATTATAATAAAATTCTAATTTAATTATAATAAAAAATTATAATAAAACAATATAATTTAATTATAATAAAATTTAAACATGATTTTTTTAGCAGTATAATATGCTTTTACGCTATTGTACAAAATTCTAGGCAAAATTTGTTTTTTATAACTGCATTTTGCGCGTTAACGAGTATTTTTAGCCGACTATCACCGCTTTTATTCTACTGGTTAGGCGATAACAAAAGGCAACACACAATAAATGAATGAAAACTGCATGCCAGTAACCTTGACGATGTCTTATCATTCGACCACTGCACTTTTTCCTCATCCGAGAGAGAGAGAGAGAGAGAGATGTGTCACGTGCTCAAAAAATATCATTAATATTCGAGAGAAGATAATCCTTCTTCCTCTCTCTATCTGTTAGCAAGTGGTACAAGTTCAATCACGATTTATCAATCAATCAATGATCGGGATCAATGGGCCAGGTCAGCCATGAAAAGAACAATAAGAGCAAAAACAAAGTTTCCTGCCGACGTATAAAAAAATTGAGCGACGAGAAAAAGATTTTGAAGATAATACAATAATTTTGCACCAAAAATGTCCTTTAGTGTCCGTCTAAATAAGGTCCCAAATATCAAGCATATATGTCATTTTGACGTCGAATGACGTCATTAAACGTCAAAATGACATCATTTTTTTTTCTCGCTCGATTAATTAATTAATTTTTTATTAATGCATTTTTTGTAGCAATTTTTCTCGTCTCTTTCTCTCTTCCCCGACTAAATTAATTAATTAATTAATTAAATTATAATAATTAATTAAATATAAAAATTAAATAAATATTAATAATTAATAAATTAATTTTTTTATTTCATTTTTGATATAAGTTTTTAATATAATAAATTAAAATTTTAATAAATAATAATTATCTCCCGTTTTTCTTAAGTTCTTTCAACTCTTAATGCTTTCATCCTTATGAAGTAACTGTTCGAAAGAGTTGTTTCTGTTTCCATCGAATGACGTGATCGATGACGGTCATCATTCAACGAACGAGTGAGCGAAACCTGGTGAATGTCTTGTTTTCGTGTCGTTACACTTTCGCCTCGCCTTTTGCAGACCATGGAAAGTGCACGCGTTCTCACTTTTTATCGCGGTCATTGCATATAGATCTATAATATGTAGTCGACATTCTTTCAGCATCTCCCTATCATGTGATCGCAAATTCTGTCCTGTCAAAATTAAATCGCCATCGTCTCTCGACCTTTGCGCTTCTCGTTTTTCCATCTTTTCCTCGAGGAATTTCATTGTTGACAATTTGTGCCTCGTCTATTTTTGAAAGAAAGACGGATGTAAACACGGATTTACTTAAAACGGGAATAAATAAAACTAAAAGTCAATATATACAAATAAGAAATTAAACATTTTTATTAATCGAGATCTTGTGATGAATCATAAATTGTTGCTCAAATATATAAATACAAGATGTGATCAAATAGTTCGTGCAATTTTTGTTTATTTGAAAAAATATCTCTTTATTAGTCTATATTAATAATTTTCGATTAACCTTCAGTTCATTCAGCGATTTTTATTTAATGTTTTTCAGTGTTGTGCTTAGATGATTTTAAAATTAACTAGATAAAGATGAGATAAAAATATGTAAATTGATCTTAGATAAGATGAAGATAATTTTGTTTTAAAGATCTAGAAAATTATCTAGCGATAAAAATTTATAAAATCGCCATATAATTTTATTTAGAATTATATCTAAATATATATCTAGATAAAAGATAAAATTATATAGCAATTCATCTAAATAATTTTCTAGATAATAATTTTAAGACTGCTTATATATGTAAACGCTGTTATAAAAAAATGTAAATTATGAAAGGAATATAAAAATATATCTAAATATATATCTAGATAAAAGATAAAATGATATGGCGATTCATCTAGATAATTTTCTAGATAATAATTAAGACTGCTTATGTAAACGCAGTTATAAAGAAAATGTAAATTATAAAAATATATGTACTCATATTTTTATTTATAAATTTTTATCGCTTACTGCTTAAGTTCTACTATTTAAGTATTTTTATGTGCTATGATTCTAAATCAAAATTATCTGAAAATTATTCTAATAAGATAATTTAGTAAAGATAATACTTTTTTCATCTAATTGTAAGATGCAGATATAGATAATACATATTTTTATTATCCATATAAAGACAAGATGACGCCAAAGTTTCATCTAGATGATCAGCTATATCATTTTATTTAGATAACAGCAAACACTGAATATTTTCAACGATCACAAATCGTTGGGAAGAGAAAGAAGTCACACGGTGCTATACCTAGTGAATACAGTCTTCCCAGGAATAAAGAAAACCATCAAAGAAGATTTGTGACTGTTGAAGAAAACTGAATTCCATAAATGTTTTGAAGACTGGAAGAAACGTTGGCAAAAATGTGTTTTGCCTGAAGGACTTACTTTGAAGCGAACATCATTAATATAGATGAATATAAAGACATACTTTTTCAAAGAAACAACAATTACACGAACTTTTGAAACACACTTTGTACGTTTTTGTTGTTATTTTTATTTATCTTTAAAAAAGTATAGTTGAATGAAAAATTAATCAACAGAAATTTACATTCTAATTTTTTTGAATAAATAATTAACTAATTGGATACTGCACGTTTATTTTTCTTTATTATTGTGAAAATAGATCTGTTCTTTTTTATGGTTTTGTTAAATCATATTTTTTCGAGAAATCTTAATAATTATTATTTAAATTATTAAATATTATATTTAATGTATCATAATATAATGTACAAAATATATTGTATTATTTATTAATATATTATATGTATATATTTATTATATATTATATATTATATGTATATATATTTATTATATATCATAATATATACATATATGATGTATTTTCTTATATTATAATACGTTTTGAATAATCAACGACGAAATCTTAATAATTAATCTAGACAAAACAGTATTTTAATTTCAACTATTTAATTTTTTGACTTGATTACGCGACATCAATCAATCAATCAATCAATCAATCTCAAGATCGAGTTTAGAGTTTCGTGTAGACACAAAGACGATTTCATGTGTCATTTATTTTCATTGATAGCTAACGAAATAACGATGTGTGAACTATACAAATATATACATATACACACACAACACGTATATATTTTTACGATTACAAAACCATTCCAATGCGCTGCATATCGATTAATTTGACAAAAGAGCAAATCGACTTTTGTTATGCGAACAAATAAAAGAGAGATCCTTTCAATGTCCCTGACATTATGTTAATTTCCTCCGGTTAATTTCATAAGCACGAGAAATAAACTCGCGCGCAAATGTCAAGCGGCTCCAAAAGCGCAGCTGTCAAAATAAATTGGAAATTTTTTTTTGTATTATTCGCGAATAATAAAGCGTGATATCTTTTTGCGCATATAAAAAAAGTTAAACAAAAGGACACTGACATTGGTGAATTTTGCTACAAATTCACTCACAAAATTGGGGTACTTTGGAACACTAACGTAACTCTCTTCTGCAGCATCTTTCCGCATTAATTGCGTCCTTTCGGATGCCGCATCCGGTCCAGATTAATTATTAAGATTCAATTGTTTATTATTAAGAAATCATAATACAATATATCATATTATTATATACACACATATTATATTTTATATATTGTATAATATATTGCATATGATATTATAATATGTAATATTGTTAATAATTATAATTAATTTAATTTAAATATTATTATTAATAATTATTAAGATTATAATACAGTGTAATTTATTATATACACTGAAAACAAAATTATTAAATATTTATTTCAATAAATCATTTATTTGAAACAAATAAATATTTATCTGTTTTGAAAAGAATTTTCTTCAAATAAATATTTTTCACATTAAATCAGTATTATTAATTTCAAATAAATGATTTATTAGGCAATATTGAAATAATCATTTATTTAAATTTAATTATTTTTTTTTATTGTAAATATATATAGATAGGTATATATTTTTTATTTTATATATATAAATAAATTATATATATATACATACACATATATATATATATATATATATATATATATATATATATATGTATAAACATCGTATTATGATATATATAAAAATATTCAAGAATATAATTATTATAATTAATAATTCAATTATATTAATAATTATTATATTAAAATCGTCGAATAAGAAGCAATTTGAAGACCAGATAAGCAACATAAACTCTGATTACACCTAACCGCGCAATATTGAACACTCCTTCCAAATTACACGACATCCTTCATTCTGATCCTTCCAATCAAATCCAATGAATTATAATTCCGAGAGAGAATCACATTTATAGCGTTTTCGATTGGGAAAAAGTTAGTGCGCACCAGTGCGCACTCAGTTCACACGAACACTGGACAAGTTCCATGGGTTGCACTGAATAGTGCAGGTGAAAAAAAACACGCCGAAATTTTCAGTGCCACTTGAGTTGACTAGATTCCGGGAAGAACGAAAAAGTAACCTCGACATCTTGTGTTCAGTTAAGTAATGATTTTTATTATATGTAATTAAATATAGAAGATGATCAAGAATATCACGTATGACAAATATAAAAATTATTATTATTCAGTATAAAAATGCTATTACATTAAGTACATTAATTATATTTTAAAAAAAGGTATAGGTTCGATGTTTATATAAAAAGATATAACACTTATAGTGTCATTATCCATTTTTTTCACACATTCTACATAATTTACAGTTTTTGGAATTATTCTTCTAGTTCGAAGAGTTGTAATTATTTCTTCTTGCTCGCTTGAACTAGAAGAAGATTCCAAAAATGTCTCCAAAATATTAAAGAGAGCCAAATCCGAATTGCTCATTATGTCGAATTTTCGTTCAAAAGAATGCCCTACTGCTTGCATGCATCCAGTGCACTGAACTGGCACCGTCAAAATATCTCGTGCCACTTAGTGCGCACTGAGTGCGCACTATGCGAGTGTTGTGCGTTCAAACGAACACGCAACACTAGTCAAGTGCGCATTGGCACTACCAATCGAACACGCGCCTGACATTCAGTGCAGCCAGTGCACCCCAATCGAAAACGCTATTAAATTAATCTGTACGCACAGATATTCACCGCATAATCTCACGGAATCGGCGAGAGATGACAATCGGCAAAATCAATCGCGCACTGTTTATTCCTCCCTGTTCTCGTCTCGAAAGGCAAGAAAACACAAAAATGACTCCGATTTACCTTCCTGCCGCGAGAAATGACGGGGAATTCCCACGCGAAACGACGCGACGCCGGTCGCGGCGGCGGTCCGCGGCAGTCTGACTTTCGATTAATCGGCCGATCGTGCCCGCTCGCTGCTGGTCGACTCGGCAGGGCCGGAGTGGGGACGCGCAACCTCCCACCCCCAGACGCGCGTGAGGGAGTATGCGACGTTCCCTCGTCGGGGCAACTTCCCCGTGTCACCCCGAGGGAGATTACTTTCCGCGCTTTTTTGCTCACACCCTGCACCTAGAAGAGGAGGCGAGATGCTTCGCCGCGATACCGGGAGGAGGGATCACGAGGACAAAGACATTACCCTATATCTCTAGAGATACAGGGTGTCTCTTATTATTCCCCTTATTATTGTTTTTCTCGAGACGGAAACTTTTTTCGTTTTTTTTTATTGTTGTAGAGTAATATTTTGCGAGTGATTTTGTCTTTATATAGGGCGTTAAAAATATTGAACGATATTTGAATTCTGTTTTTCAAAATTATAAAAATTTTATTAAATTTTATTTCTTTGCTTTTGTTTTTATTTAATTTTATATTTAGGTTTTATTTAATTTTATATAGAGATAAAAACTTAAAAAAATTTTTTTTAATTGTAGAGTATTTTTTATGAGTAATATTTTTTGCGGGTGATTTTGTCTTTAAATATAGAGTGTTTAAAAATATTGAACGATATTTAAATTGTTCTACATTTTTCAAAATTATGAATTTAATTGTATTAAATTTTATTTTATTTTATTTTTATTTAATTTTATATTTAAGAATATATATGGAAGAATGGAACCACGTGAGTTTACATAAGATAATTTAAGTATGAGACAAAACAAGCGCGCGAGAATAAAAAGTATATTTTACTTCAATCGAAAAAGGAGAATCAAAATATTTTTTATCTTTATAGAAAATGCTTAAAAAATTTTTGTTTTCAATAAACTAACAATTCGGATCAATAATGAAGCCAGAAACAACACTCGAGTTGATTAATTAATCTTTTTTTTTCTTTCTTACATCGTCAATGTCTAATTTTTTTTACATTTTTCTCGGTGACAAAAAGTCAAGAGTGTCGGAAAATTTTTGAACCGCCCTATATGCAGTGTGTAATAAAAATATGAACTAATTCAGGAGCGACCATAAGTTGGGTTAAAACTTAAGACACCTAACGTGATAGATAATTTAATTAAAAATGCTCAAAATAATTATTATTTTATTTCCAATAATATAAAAAAATATATACAGGGTGTAATAAAAATATGGGCAAATTCAGGAGCGGCCATTATAACAATCACAAGTTGGGTTAAAACTTAAGACATCTAATGTAATAGATAATTTAATTAAAAATATATGCTCAAGATAATTATTATTAAATATATTTCCAACAATATATAAAAAATATATATATATATATATATATATATACAGGGTGTAACAAAAAATATGGGCTAATTCAGGAGCGTGATAGATAATCTAATTAAAAATGCCGAAAATAATAATGATTTTATTTCCAACAATATAAAATAGTAAAAATAAATCTCAAAATAATTTATTCTCAAGGAAAATTGGCAAATTAATTTTTCAGAAAAAGTCAGCAGCACCTGTCAAACTACGTCAAACATCAAACGAAGGTGCGCGATAAAAATTCATTCTTGGACACGTAGGTTCGTACGAAATTTCTTTGCTCGTTTCGACGAACGCTCCTGAAGAAGTGGCCTACATTTTTGTTCCACCCTGTATGTCGCCGGTCATGGTACCATATCGATCCAGTGCGCAGGCACCACCGGTCGACCTCTCGCGACGAATCATCGCCCGTTACCTTGACACGCAGAATATAAGGTCCGGGTGTTCCCTTCGGTTAGGTTGCATTGTGCCTTGTTACGTCTTTTGCACCCGGGAGATGGCACACAGATATATATCCACTATCTTATATATATTTATGATTGTGAGACGTGTCGAAGATGGACGGGAAAAAATATATAGAAATGTTTATAGGCAAAAGTGACCGGACTTATATAGTATGCATACTATGATAGTCGGACGTGTAAATTTACAATGTAAAGAGAAATAATCTTTCTGGAGATCGCTGGACTTGACTTTGTCGACCTCCCTTGCGAAGATAGCATCTTTCTATTCGCGCAACATCCTTTTAGATAAATTACAATTTCTAGCAATTGATTTACAAAATAAAATTATGTATTAAAAAACCGACAAAAAATACAAAGATTTGTAGAAGTAAAAAATAATCGAGAAAAATTTTGCGAAATTACCTTTTTAAATAAGAATAAATTTTTAAAATATATTTATAGATTAAATAATAAATATATGTGTATTATATATTATATTAATATAATAATATACATATATATATTTATACAATTATTATTAAATAATAATATATAATATGTAAGAGGAAATTGATACAAGGATAAAATATCTTATTATTTCATTATTTTCATTCTTTTAATTGTATGCATATTGATTTTTATTAGTCTTTTTTACGTTTGTACATTTAGATCTCGAGATACTTAAATATTAATTTGACTATAAATCATACGTACGTATTTGTTTTTAGCTAGACCATCACTCAAATAAATTATGATAATTGTACATCGATGTAAATAATTGCGTAATCAAAAAAATTGTACATATATGTATGCTGAGTCAACGCATGATGTAATGACGGATCCATCATCGGTGTAAATATAGTCGGTCGCATATTGTACAGCGAGATATCGAATCTCAGAATCTCAGGTAATCTCGGACAAAGTTTATAAGAGAGGGCAAACTAAATAAAACGGGGTTAACGTTGAAAATCGATCGTTGAATGAAACAAAAATATTGTATCGGCGATTTGACCGAATTAAATAAGCTTGAGCTAGATAATCGATATGAGGGGTAAATGCACTCGATCTATTATCTTACAATGCATCGTAAACTTTTTCTTACGCAATTTCTTTCCGACTTAAATCTATTTTTTTCTACTCTTTTGTTGCAAGATTACAGTTTATGTATGTATATTATATATATAATTATATATTATTATATACATATATATTACCTATATATACTACCTATATATACTATATATATATATATTATATGTAAAATTGTATATTATTATCTATATATTATTAAATATATTATTTTCACATATTATTATATATTATATATTATTTTATATTATTATTTAATATACATATATATAGCATTTAAATTTAACCTAATGCTTTATTATTAAAAATTTGTGTAAAAATTTGAATTGACACTAATTTAGTGTTTCTCTTTCTCTTTCTTTCTTTTCTTATCAAGAGACACGGTAGTGTCTCGCGACCAGTTAAGGGCGTAGCCGAGACACCGTGTATCTTAACGCGAGTCGGACATTTGAGTCTTTATAATATTTCGAATTCTCAATAACGGCTGAAGCAATCGAGTTTATACTAGACTTAATCGATAGATTGAGTTTGAATTATATAATAAAAGTGTCTTTATTTCTGCTCTACGTGATTTGTAAGCAGAGATATATAATTGCAAAGTCGAAATATGAAAAATTTCTTTTAAGAAACGTCCCCGTCATCATTATTATCATCATCGACCACGCAAACATAGTAGTATCGTGCTACACGTATTCACACGTATACAACACATGCGCACACATATATCACACGTACACAACACATGAATAGATGCATGTATTGGAAATGTCCATCTCGCACGTTTTACAACAGACGGCGATAGTTGCCCTCCGCTATATTGACAGCGTGCGGGGTTAGATATTTTCAATTTCAATGTTTACATTCAATTTTAATGTTATTATTTGCAAATTTATTGTCATAATAATTTATGTGCAAGCTTACAGTCTGTGATACAAAATCAGATATTTTGCTATTATTTCAATAATATTTCAATTATATAAATCTTATATAAATGCCTATGTATGAGTATGCATATATTTTTAATAATTTTCTTAATTAGCTTCTATATTTTTTTCAGTTGTACATCAAGCAGGTAGCATTATCAGCTCACTTGTGAGCATGGGTTGGGCAATGGCTAGTTATCATCGCAGCATTCGATTAGCTTAACAAGATAAATCTAATATCAGTGCTATAGGAACTATTTTACAATTTTTCTGGCATTTTCTTATTGCAGGTACATATATATCCAATAATTAATATACAAAATTAAATATTATTCATCACACACTTTGTATCAAAATAATATATTTTTAAAATTTATTTTAAATTTATTTAATCATTTTTATCATTGTGATTGTAGTGGCAAGGATTTTATTGCTCAGTGTCATTGCAAGCATCTGGCCTGTATATACCATAATATATTGTGTAATACATTGGCTAAGTATGACAATATAGATTTTGATAGATTCCCATGGAATATTGGAATTTTGTCGGACTTACAGTCATCCACCACATATGCAGCCTACAATTAAAGAACGCATTTATTCCATATGATTTGCTTCCGTTATTGGAATATTTAAAATAAAAATTTTATTAATAAATTTCGATGAAATAATTTATAAGAGGTTGAAGAAACTATGAAACAAATTCAGTCTCATAAAAGGGTAGTTGGAACAATAGTGGTGAATGCAGAAGGTATTACATGAGATCATTGACATGATTTACTTGTAGTTGTAAACAAAAATTTATAAAATTATATTTGTTTTAGGTATTCCTATAAAGTCAACATTAGATAATACGACAACAGTTCAATACGCAGGTTTGATAAGTCAATTGTCAGATAAAGCTCGTTCTGTCGTACGTGACTTGAATCCAACAAATGATTTAACTTTCTTGCGCATACGTAGCAAAAAACAAAATTATGATGGAACCAGATAAAGAATTCATATTAATAGTAGTACACAATCCAGTTGATTGATATTTAAAAGAAACAAAAATATATTTCAAAGTTAAGATTTATTTTTTTGGTTGTTAATTTAATCTGTATGCTACATTGGATGTTAATATCTATTCAATTAAATAAAGAAAAATAAAAGAATAAAGCTTAAAAATTATACAAAATGCAGTATTTAATTACTAATTTAACAAATTATGAACTTTTAGAGTTTTTAAATAGTGCTTTCTTCTTTGGTAACAATATTATATTTTTAAGTTTGATAATTATGAAAATATGTATATATAGTAATTCATGGCATGTTTATTTTTGTATTTAATACAATTATAAATGTACATTTCTCATCGCAATAAAATATCACAGTATCTTTTTTATAATTTAATTTTAATATTGAGATTGTTTTTATTCAGTGGAAAAAAAATGTGTAGTTGGTCCCTATTAATTATACATACATATAAGAGTGTCGCACAAATAATTCTATGCAGTCTTTTTAAGATAATATAAAAATACTTATAAATATAATCAATTAAAATACATATAATCAAAATTGTATGTATTAAAATTCAATAGCATATAAAAAAGATTTTTTAAAATTATATATATATAATAAAAATCCAACATTTTATATATATATATATATATATATATATAAATATAAATATATATTTATTTATTGTATATCATAACGATCATTGTTGGGAGCTATTATTAGTAGTTTATTATTGGTATGTTAAGGCAGGATGACATAAGCGAACCGAATATATTTATTTATTTATTTATTTGTCTTTTTATTATCTTATACTTTTTATATTTTATTTTTCATTTTTTATATTTTATTTTAGTAATTTGCCATATGGTACATCACAATTTAGCGAGAATGTAAATATTGTTAACTTTTAACTTTGACATAATTTTCGGCGTGTTTATTCGTTAGTACAGTGTGCTCAGTCGTAGCAAGATGACACAAGTGAAACGCAGTTAATTTACCATCCGATCTTAAGTTAAGTCTCACCGGAGCGTACTTTTAAATGTCAATAACGATATGCAGTAACTCATTGTAAGTCTCATTTGTTACATTTCACGTTTTCAATTTAAATGTTGATTCTGATTGCATGTACATTAATTTCTAGAATGCTTCTATTGTAATTTTGAAAAGGACCACAACCCGTATGGTCGAAACGTCAATAAATATAGTTTAACAAATCGAATAGACAGCCAGTGTAGTCAGTTTAATATCTACTACCTTAGTATTTCATTCCTGGCGAACGAAATTTAATATTTTATTGTTACAATATATTATGGTATATACAGGCCAGATGCTTGCAATGACACTGAGCAATAAAATCCTTGCCACTACAATCACAATGATAAAAATGATTAAATAAATTTAAAATAAATTTTTAAAAATATATTATTTTGATACAAATTGTGTGATGAATAATATTTAATTTTGTATATTAATTATTGGATATATATGTACATAAAATAAGAAAATGCCAGAAAAATTGAATTTGCTTATTTATTTAAAGATGCTTATCATATACAAAAATGAATGATATAATCTCTAAAACTCACCTTTAAAAAAGGTAAAAAAAGGCGACCAGTTAAGGGCACGCCATTAACAAAAATTATCCATTGCAAACCCATGTACAATAGAATTGTATGAAAAATTATCGATTATAAACACATGTACAATCGTAACAAAAGTAATGAAATAAAAAAAAAATTGCGCCAAGTGAAAGTAGAAACTTGTACCAGTGGAAAATTAAAGTTGAAGACATATATAGAGTCGTATAATGAATCAATAAAAATTTAAATTTGCAAATGTAGAATTGTACCATAAAAAAACTTATCTTTTAAAAAAAAAGATAAACAAGATGCCAAGTCCATGCGCCATGTGAAAAAGTGTTAAACAAAAAAGTATTTTTAAGTAAAAAAATCTATCAATTGACAAAAATTTATGTTCTAAAATTAATATCTCTACAAAAAGTAATGTCCAATTATTGCGCGAATAAATAAACATTTTTATAAAAAATTAAAATTTAAAAACTTATGCAAATTTAAAATTAATATAAAATAAAAAGAAATAAAAAATTTTAGTTAAAAAAACTGGGCGCGCTGCTAAATAATATTCTAATGATATTAAAATTAAATTGTTACTTTTAAACTCATTGCAGCGCGCCCAGTTTTTTTAACTAAATTTTTTTATTTCTTTTTATTTTATATTAATTTTAAATTTGCATAAGATTTTAAATTTTAATTTTTTATAAAAATGTTTATTTATTCGCGCAATAATTGGACATTACTTTTTGTAAAGATATTAATTTTAGAACATAAATTTATGTCAATTGATAGATTTTTTTACATAAAAATACTTTTTTGTTTGACATATGCACTTACGCGGTTTTATGCATATATTAAAAGTATTAAATTATTATAAAAAACGTGTATCACAGTATAAATTATTAATAAAATAATAACAATAAATATAATAATATATAAATAAAAATTATTTGAAATTTATAAATGTTATATTGATTTTATATACATATAGTTTGTCATACTTAGCTGTAAAGACATTTAAAATATGCTCATCCAATGACTCGGCTGCTTTGATCATTTTCCGCCAATCGGCTACTGGTGGGTATATTTTTTCTTCTATGACAGAATTATTTATATGCGCGTATGCTGTACTAACATAAACTAGTGCCTTTAATAAATAAATACGTTTTAATAGTAAAGTTACATTTTTTTTTAAATAATAAAGACTTAAATGAACTTAATTGCAATTGAAAGGAAATCATATTTATTTTTGTTGTTAAGTGTTTAACTGTAATTCTTTTTACGTAAAAAAGAATAAAATTATTGTTCGACAAAATTTTTATACTATAATAACAATAGTTTGTAATATTAATTATTATATAAAACACATTAAATAATTTATATATTAATAGATACTTAAAAAAACACTAAATACGCCATTTGTCACATTTATACTTACTAGAAGATTTTTCATATCTTGAGCTAAGATACAGATATCTCTTGTCGATCTAGTATTTATAAAAATAGCATACTTTAAGCTGTCATTAAATCTCACACTCGCTGCTGCATGAATTATTATAGTCACTCTTTCAACTAACATTTCTCTATCGGCAGCCGACAGACCCAAGTTCTCTTTACTAACATCACCAAAAAGTGGAATTATTTTTTTTAAATTTGAAGGTTGCTCTTTTCGCAGTTTATCGAATAACTGAAATAAAAATACATGTTATATAACGTACTTATATTACAATTGCCATGATTCTTATATCTTCAATAATTTTGCAAAAAAATTGTAGAATATTTTTGTTACTTTTACACTATATCTTACGTTTTCAAATGTTCTCTCTACTATTACTTATACGTTTTTTAATTAAATTTATCACTTTTATCAAATTGTAAAATTAATTTTTTGTAAAAATAAGAAGCGTCATATGATAACACTCTCAAAAGAACATTTTCATTTAATCGTTAGAATAATTCTTAAAAAATTCAAAAAAGTATCTATACTTCTGTAATTGACTTACCGGTAATTTCAATATTTGTTCGAGCCTTTCGTTAATGCTTTGTTCTTTTTTTGGGCGCATCAATATAAACACTTCGCGAACATCTGGGCAAGATCGCAGTATCTTCTCCATGCATACTTTACCCATAAATCCTGTCGCACCTGTTAAAAATATACTTGTCCAGCGTAAAACGATGTAATTGACTTGATTGGATTATTTATATTCTCATCCATCGTTATTAAAACAAAATCAATATAAATAATATAATAACAACGTAACTGCCAAAAATAAATACAAGTGCACTCGGAAATTTAATGATCTCTTTTATATTGATTTTTTCACAGCAGGAGTTTAATTAGATGACAAACTGAGCTCAAACTTCAACGACGTACGCTACTCAATTAAAATCATATGCTAGATTATCATTTGCTATATAACGTTTTGTTAAATAGATGTGCATCTAGACATTAATAAAACGGAAACTATTTAAACCAAGGGTGAAAAAGCAAACTTACATAATGCAGTCTAATAATAATTTAATGTATGCTTGATCCAGTAGTATAATGACATGCTTTTTTGCAGTTTATTCTACAGTTTTTTTAACGTTATATTACAATTTTTTTATTTTACACTAGACAACACAAATTAACTTGTGTTGTCCAAATAAAATTTATTTCTTAAACCTTGACATTCTTCATGAATAAGAAGGTATATTCCTTCTTTTTCTCAACAATGAAATACTCGATAAAAATTGATATAAATTTGTATTATTATAATTAGTTTATTAATGTTTATACAGTAATTATCTAAACTTAATAACAATCTAGATTATATATTTGGTGCAACCGCAATTGTTAAATCAAATTTTTTTTTATAAAACAATTAATACACATTAATATTTATCATATATTATCCACATAATGAGAGTGCCGACCAATATTTTCACAATTCTATCGAGCCATAGCATCCTACAATCATAAAAGAGAATTAAATTATTATTTTGGACATATATTTATATCAAATCATTAAAATCTCTTTCAGAATAACTCGGCTAATTGAATTTATATTTGAGATAGCTTAGTTTTACTATTATAGTGCTCGAAAAAGTAAACAATTTGTTTGTGCAATTTTATATAAAATTTAATGGATCAAATTTTCACTGCGCGTTCCTACGTTGCCGACCTAATTTTCAAACTATAGGACTTCAATCGATCGACCAAACAATCGTACAGGTAACTTCGCGACGTCGCGTTTCCGCGTTAACGTTATCTCCGATTTTTTATCTCTCTCTCTCTCTCTCTCTCTCTCTCTCTCTGTTTTGTTCTCTGATTAATTTTTAGAATCACAATAGAGGCTGTGTAAAATTATATATCTTTCGATCTCGCAAAAATGATATAATGATATCTTTTCGTGTGTTTCTAAGTACGTACATATGTATCTGTGACGCGAGTTTTGCAACGAGATATGCATACCATCGTCGATAAAATCGATCATTTGTTAAAGACAGATATTTTTTAAGACCAAGCAAGCCCGAAATGAGCGAAAGAAAAATATGCAGTTCTGCGACCGAAATCCGTTCTCCATTTCATTAAGTGCATGTTACCTCTTTCGATGCAGTTTCGCTGCATTCAGGTGATTCATATCCTCATTCAGTAAGTAAATTTTTGCACCGATTACGCTGTTTCGAAAGTAATGCACTATATTGAAATTTCTGTAGTCAAATCCGAAGTCTTTATTATTCTCGGTGACAGATCATCGAAGAAATGTTGTAATTTCCTATTCGTAAATTGCCATTCATGTGTCAAAAAAAACGCTAGAGCACTGTTTGCGCAATAGACCTTCCTCTGCAATTTTAATAGCCTAAAAGAAAAGAGCACTTTGCTAAATATTTTTTTTTTACATTTACATATACTTAAAGATTTCACTTCTTGTTATAAATAAATAAATAAGATATATATGTATATACAATGTTCATAAACTTTTCCTAATCTATAAAATCAAGAGACACGGTAGTGTCTCGCGACCAGTAAGGCGTAGCGGAGACACCGTGTATCTTAACGCGAGTCGGACATTTGAGTCTTTATAATATTTCGAATCCTCAATAATGGCTGAAGCAATCGAGTTTATATTAGACTTAATCGATAGATTGAGTTCGAATTATATAATAAAAGTGTCTTATATTCTGCTCTACGTGATTTGTAAGCAGAGATATATAAATGCAAAGTCGAAATATGAAAAATTCTATTAAGAAACGTCCCCCGTCATCATTATCATCATCATTATCATCATTATCATCCATCATTATCATCATCGACCCACGCATACATAGTAGTATCGTGCTACACGTATTCACACGTATACAACACATGCGCACTACATATATCACACGTACACAACACATGCAAGATGCATGTATTGTGGTAATTTTGTCCATCTCGCACGTTTTACAACAGATGGCGATAGTGGCGCTCCGCCATATCGGCAGCGTGCGGGGTTATGTTGGCTAACTCTCTCTCTCTCTCTCTCTCTCTCTCTCTCTCTT